AAATAAGTCAGTTATAGAAAGATAAATGTCACATGATCTCACTCATTTGTGGAATATAAACAACATAAACTGATGAGCAAAAACAGATCCAGAGATAGTGAAGCATCAATGAGACTGTCAAACCTCAGAGGGAAGGCAGGGGAAGGTGGGGTTAAAGGGGAGAGATCAACCAAAGAACTTGTATGCATGCATATAAGCATAACCAATGGACACAGACACCAGGGGGGTGAGGGCATGAGCAGGGGGGTGGGGTAGGGGAGGTAATGGGGCGATAAGGACACATGTGTAATGCCTTAATCAATAAATAAAAAAACACAAAAAAAAATTATTGATAAAATCAAAGACTATGTCTCCGGGGGGAAAAAAAGCAAAAACTTTCTGTTGGATCTAAGACCAAAATAAAGTAAGAAATGTAATTTTTAAAAAAGATTGGTGGCCTTGGCCAATGTTGCTCAGTGGTTGGAGTGCGGGCACAAGAACTAAATGATCACAGGTTCCATTCTGGTCAAGGGCGCATACCTTGGAAGTAGACTCCATCCCTGGCCCCATTCTGCATGCGTGTAACGAGGCAACCAACCAATATGTCTCTTTCACATGGATGTTTCTTTCACTCTCTGTCTCTCACCTTCCCTTCCATTTTCTTAAAAAAAAAAAAATCAATGGGAAAAATATCCTCGGGTGAGGATTAACAAAAAAAAAAAGATATCGGTGAATGATCTCACTGAAAAATGACAAGTGGTGGTGAGCAGTGAATATGTCAGGTGAAGCTTAAGGCATGCCTCCATAATGAGATTTGACTCTTGCTCATTTCACACTTCATACAATATTGATAAGATAGGGCAGTGGTCGGCAAACTGTGGCTCGCGAGCCACATGCGGCTCTTTGGCCCCTGAGTGTGGCTCTTCCGCAAAATACCACGTGGGCACACATGTACAGTGCGATTGAAACTTCGTGGCCCATGTGTAGAAGTCAGTATTTTGTGGAAGAGCCACACTCAAGGGGCCAAAGAGCCACATGTGGCTCGCGAGTCGCAGTTTGCCGACCACTGAGATTTCATGCAAGAATAGGCCTTTCTTCCCCCAACTGCCAGCGCCACTTCCCTCTGGCACCCAGGACCTGGGCTTCCCTCTGGCGACTGGCATGCTGGACCCAAGCTTCCCTCGGAGCCCCGGCTTTGTCAGAAAGGTCATCCGGTCTAATTAGCATATTATACCTTTATTATAGATATTATAGATAAGAAACATAACACATCAATTTTTACTTAGCATTACTTTTTCTGGATAACTGTGCCCACTATATATGTGTAGACTTATTGTGCCAGAAGATGTGAAACAAGTGTAAATATGTGATAGGGAAGAACACGATTTCTGATTTAGATTAGTAATGTAAGTATGTATCTTCA